AGCTTAGAGAAAGGAGAAATATCTGGGGGAACACTTGTGGAAAGAATTCCAGACTGAGCATGAAGGACCATCGGCACTCATCATATTCCAATTAAAAATCTCTCCTCTCCCTCCCCTGTGTGTGTGTGTGTGTGTGTGTGTGTGTGTGTGTGTAGGCTTTTTTGTGTATGTAGGACCTTAGGCACTAAACCTACTTCAATTAAAAAAATCTTTCCTCTCCGTTCCCACACTTGTGTGTGTGTGTGTGCGTGCATGCATGTGGGCTGTGTGTAGACTCCTGTGTATAAGTGTGTTTATAAACATAATGGTACATATATGGACGTCAGAGGACAATCTTGGCTGCCAGAAACAATACTGAGAAATTGATTGAGCGTGGAGACAGTTCACCGCATCCTCCCTGTGGAGAAATGGTTCTGACCATTGGGCACCTCTTTCAAGTTCGTCTGTGGATATGCCATATTTGTGTCATCTGAATATGTAATTACATCAAAACTTAAATCTTGAATTCTGACCAGTGCCTTGAAATTTCTGATACACTTTAATTAAGGAAGGGTATTATTATTATTTTTTTTATGTAGGAGGACATAGCACAAGGGAAAGAGAAGCCATAACAGTAATGACAAATGCAGACACAACCTAGTTGCTCAATGTATACAAAGTCAAAATTGTGTGTTATTGAGTTCCCCCAGGCTGTTGAGAAGACATTGGAATTTTCTTGAACCACTGTGTACCTATAGATTGGGATAATACTGATTACCCCATTATAATCATTATTATCTGAAGGTAGAGGATGAGACTCTTAATCTCAGGGTCGTGGGTTCGAGCCCCATGTTGGGCGCCAGATGAAGGTGAAGGCGTAAGTCAAAAACAATCCCACACCAGTTTAGAATTATGATTAATAGAATGGTTATTTATTTAAAGAGGAGAGAACTTACAGATCACCGTCCCAGACAACAGCCCTCTGCGCAATCAGGAAGGGAGTCTAGTTGCTGGAAGCAGAGCAGGAAGTAAGAAAGAGCGAGAAGGGAAGTGGCCGCTTTTTTAAAGGGAGAGAGACCACGTCCCAATGGGCTGGTATCTCAGTGGCTATTGGCTAGAGGAGCAGAAGGACCTCCCGCAACAATTATCAACTGTCACCCCAAAAGAGAATAATCCATACTCTTGGTATTTCTCATCACCAAAGGGGCAAATTCATCCAGGATGGAAACAGAATAGCTGTGTCCTAATGTTGGTCTCCAGAAAGAAGACCAGAGAATGCAAAACCTAAGAGTGATTCTTCACTGGGTGCGATCTGAGAGCAGTTTCATGTGTGGCTTTAGCTTAGTACCTTACTCATTCCTATCCTTTTCTTTACCTACCTTGATGCCATTTGCGAAACTGTCGTCTTCCTGAGCCTATGCCCTTGTTTGTGATGCCACTTGTGAAGCATTTCCTCCCTAGGATGACACACCAGGTTGGCAGTAGGGTGGGTGTCTCCCACTGCATTAAACAGTGCATACCATGCATCAGATGCTTAAGAAGGCAAATGAATGGGAGTGCTCCTGTGTGCATGGGAGCAAGCACAGAGCCTGAGAACAGTTAGATGGAGCCAGAATGGCCTTGGCAGGTGAATCTGTTCAGCTGTAGATGTCTTGGCAAACTTTTGGTGGGATAATCTGTTATTTTTCTCCAACTCGATTCATATATCAGGAAGAGAGATTACTAATTCTACATTATTTATTTTAAAAGCAGTATCCTAAGAGTCTTTTATCACAGAGGAAATGCAATAATATTTGCTTGTTGAGAAAGGGAAAGCATGTCTGCTTCAGCCATAAGCAGTGCCAGACACAAAAGAGAGTTTAGAATTGAGGGTGTCTGTTGTGAGCGTCAATACATCCCAATTTCAGCAGAGTAGTTTTGGTCGTTGGTGGGAGAGAGATCATTAGAAGTTTAGATTTATAAAATAGTCCATGGAGAGAACCTAGATGCTTCTTGACCAGAGGTAAAGCACTATAATTATAGCTGACATTCTACTATCCTCCTCCCTTCAAGTAAATTACAATATTAGGATCTAGAGTTCTCTTTCCCTTTGATCAGGGGCCAGCAAATGATGGCCAAGTGAGAATGGTTTCTATAGAAATTTTTCTAAATTCGTGTACTCTTTGGAGCTATATATGTAACTATCCAGATGGCTGACAAATGCTGCTGCAATGCGTGGCTTTTAAGTTTTTATTTTAAGTAAAAATTATGACTTCTGGCACTGAAATAGTCTTAACAGCAGCAATTATTGTTTAATAAGACAATAAAAGAGAATTATTAGAGAAAAGTTGCTAAAGGTTGAAAATAACAAACTCACAGATTAACTGTTCTCCTGTTAGCCAGTGCTAATGGAAGGAGTTCGATAGAGCTAAAGGCTAAACCATTTCCTTTTCAAAATTTGTGCCTTATTGCCTGCCTTGTTCTATGCTTGGGGAAGACAATGGAAGTAAGAAAGATCATGGGGGGAAGAGCAGAGTGACATATAAGACAAGAGCATTGGTGTCAAGTTCATTTAGAATAAATGGAACTATTAACAAAGGATTAGACATTACTGACCCAGGGTCCATAGATGAGAATAAGAGATGAGTGTGTCTAAGATTTGGTGGTAGGCACTCTTTGAGCTTTTGTCCAATACATAAAAGTATACATATGCGTTTCTTCATTCTTATTCCGCGATGTGTGAAGTTAAAATATCTTGATTCAAAGTCTTCAGTGATCTAGATTTGACCTGCTTTTCTGGTCTTTTGAGCCTCTATTTCCATGTTACTTATAAGATTAAAAAATCCCACAGTGCCAAGGGGAGTAATATACATGAAGCATTGCCTGGCACAGATCTATGGGCTTCCCAAGCTGAATCTAACTCTAACCCTCTATGGGGCAATGCCATACTTACCCATATTTCACAGGTGAGAGGTTCAGAACTGCTCTGAGGTCCCCTGGCCAGTGATGACTTGTGCCCCATGCTTGGTGACCATTCTTGGCACTCTCTTCTCTTGCTCCTCCAACAAGGGCTTCGCTAAAGCTCTTCTACCTTCTAAATAAATTCTCGTAGATCTAAAAAGACACCGTTTCCACATTCTTAGTGTAGCCAAATCATTATAATTCTTTCACTGCAAATATCTGTGATCTTGTGACATTATGAGCTCTCAGTAGAATGTCACTGTTCTGGAATCACCTGGGAAGTAACAAACTTCAGTTGGGAAAATGCCTCCATTATATTGTCCTGTAACTAAGTCTGTGCAGCGTTTTCTTGATTGGGTATCGATATCACATGGCCCAGTCCACTATGAGCAGTACCTGCCCTGAACAGGTGGTCCTGGGAGGTATAAGAAAGTTGAACGTGAGCCTGAAAGCAAGCCGGTTATTATTGTTCTTCCATGGTGACGACCTTGAGTTCCCTCTGTGGTGGACTGTAATCAGGATGTGTGAGCCAAATAAACAATTTCCTCCCTAAGTTGCTTTTGGTCATGGTGTTTATCAGAGCAACAGAGAGTGAAGTGGGACAGCAACCCACCAGCAAGAGGGCACGGCTAGACCATGAGGCTGGTTGAGAATTCAGGTGCAGAGACTCCATTGCGGAGCCCCCTGAACAGAAAGTACAGTTCTCCATGTGCCCCAGACGGTGTGGTGTGCAGCGACATACAAGAGCTCTAGGTTGGAAGTCCCTTTTCGAACCTTCTTCACTTTGCATCCTTGTTATTTATATACCAGATTTATACTCTCAGGAAGAATGAAAGGTTTTTGGCATCAGGTACACATCACCTCTTGTGTATCTGTAGGTGTAAAGGCCAGAAGATGTGTGTCTTTAGTGATGTAACTGCATATACATTCAGAAAGTTAGCCCATTTTAGGTCAAAATGTACTGTTATTTGCAATAGTTTTCCCACTTCTTAGTAGATTCATTTTGAATAATTGTTGCATTTGTACTCACAGCTTTCATAAATTCAGCTTATGACAATGTTGAAAATGTTAACTGTACATGAAACAAACCCTTTATCTTTTTGCATAGCTTTCAGTATATTCCCAGCTCCTTCCATACTACATCCTTCACCCACTGCCTGTGCACAAATATAGTAAAGGTTTGTAGGAAAAAAGTCCATGCTTAGAAAGTAGAAATACTCAAAGCTGATGATGACAGTCAATCGCATGGGAAACACTTGCGATTTGTTTATCAGTAGTCAGGACAGTCACCGTCTTCCAGAAACAGTGAAAGGGAATCTGGTTTGACAACTATTTAGTAACAAGCTCTATCTCAGAGCTACTTTTGTTTAACAGCAGAAATTGAGTCACTCAGATGCTCCCGTGTCTGACTGCTGACCACACACCGAGGACTCGCCACTGAAATGACTGACTTTCCCAAACGATCACTGTGTTTTCCAATTCTTTATTTAGACACCGTGTTTGCATGTGTTTGTACCTCGGAATGTTCTCCGCAAGTGCGGCCAACTGATCCCTGAGACTGGCAGATGCCAGGTCCCTCCAACCAGCTTCTCATTGCTGTACAATCTGGCTTTTCCCTCCCTTCCACAGAATACATAATTGGACTGCGTGCATGAAAGGAAAAGAGGGGAAGCACATATAGGTGGCAATTTTTCACTTCCTCTGATCCATTTTAGCTCTCAGTGTGACCTCTTGTGAAGTTCCAAATGTAAAAATTGTCAAAACAAATTCTTTGGAGATGAAAAATACCCAACTCACTGAAGAATCTGCTTCGTCTCCTTTTAGATTCCCCCTCCCAACCTGCGTCTCTCTCTCTCTCTCTCTGTGTTCGCATATGCATGTGGGTGTATGCGTGTGTGTGCATATGCATGTGCGTGCATGTGTGTGTGTGAGTGAGTGTATGCGCGCGTGCGTGTGCCTGTGTTGTTTTAGTAACAGACTCTCTTCCCACCTCAGTCTTTGATTTGCTCACTCCCTTATGTGATGAATCAATGCTTCCAGAACAGGGGCTTCTGAGTGACTGCGGGAACAATCACTTCCAAATGACCTCCTGTATCTTAGCGGGGAACATTGAGACCACACCCAAGGTAAAAGGAAACCTTTGCTTAATGCTTTCGGAAACTTTTAAAGGCACCGTGTTCCTGGTATATGCCAGAGGGTGTGAGGGTAAAGCTACCCGGGTGCCGATAAATTTGTCTGTGTATCGAGATGCGATGCTATCTCCAGTTAGAGAAACGGGTAACTGATAAAAGCAAAACTGTTGTTCATCGGGTAAAGAAAACGCTAAGGATGCGCTTGGCATAGAGTTAATGCTAGAATTCTTGTGATGCCTTTTCTTAGTAAGAGGCTAGTGGTCCTCTGTGCTGCCGTGGTCAATTTGGGGGTTGGAGCGGGGAGAGAACTTTTAGGGAAATAGGAGAAACAAAAGCCCCCAGCCTGAAGCTGAGCAAAGGCACACACAGCCTGTAAAACAGTGGCGAGAGCCATTTCTCACGTGACTAGCCTGTGTGTGGTGAGATGGGGTCAGTTTTACCGATCTCGGGTATTTCAAGCCAAATTTAGGATACTATCTTAATCCATTTAGTTCTTATTTCTATTGTTAAAATAGTTTTCCAGTGATCAGATGTTTAAATGGCATTGGCAGCTGAAAGTGTTAATTGGCGATTAAGAAGTGAATGCCATTAACTCGCATCTGCTTCTGCTTTGTTGGAAAATGATTTTTTTTTTGTCACCATAGCGATTCATTTTGGGGCTCTGTTGGATGTGCCACGCAGTATGTAGTAAATGGTAAATGGCTTTTTCTCCCCCCCACCTGAACAAGGGATTCAGCAGTGTCTTTTCAAGTGAACCTTAGATTTCTGGTAAGATACAGGTGATAGGCAAAGATGGTGAAAAGAGCCCCGTGCTAATTTTGCTGTACTTTTTTGACAGGAAATAACAAAGGGTCGCCCTTTCCTGATGTACTGGGCACGTGTATATGGACAGGAATTAATCCCTGAATTAGTTCTACTCAGTAGCAACCCAGGGAGATAAGCCTATATACATATACATAATATATACATATATATGAGATTTATATACATGATATATATATATAATGATTCAAATATAAATATTTGAAACATCATATATTTGTTCAACTAAATTAAGGAAGTGGAATTGTCTTCCTACATTGGTGAAAAAAATTGACTTAGGGTTCAGAGGTTCCTGTGGGGAGATAAAGTTGAAGGAGACTATCTTGCTTCTGTTCGGTTGCTTCCTTTTTCATCTTGTAGTCTTGTTTAGAAACCTCTATGTGGTTGTGTGATAAGAGCTCATCTTGTTCATTAGTGCACCGGCTTCCCTTTTTACTTGGCTCTTGTTTTATTCACTAAAATTATGGCTTCCAACTTTAAAAAAGTCTATAGGTTGTGAAGTAGCGTTTGTAGAATTCTGCACTTTAGAGAACCAAGGCAAGTTGAAGCTGAGCAGTGGTGCAAGGTGATTAGAGAAGTAAGTTTTGATCACTAAATATGTTTTAGAAGTTATGGCTACTTGGTATTTATCATCTATGGATTTTGTAACCCTAGGGTATTTATACTAAAATCTTTCATATAGAACTGTTTATTGTCCTTTAGATAGACTTCAGTTAGACCAAGTTATTTTATGGGAAAATGAGGGTAGGTATAAACAACTGGAAGTCAGGTCACCCTTTCTTGATTCTTATCAAATTACTGTTTCTCTAAATGAGAAGGTAGGATGATTGTTTGAATAAATATAGCTACAAGTAGCAATGTAAGAGAGGACGGGTTTATTCTGGCTTGTGATTTGCGTGCGTCGTTCAGCACGCTCACAGAGGCATGGCCGGCTGGAGTGTGAGGCAGCCTGCTAAACTGTACTCTCATTCAGGAAGCAGAGAGAGAGAGACAGATGCTGCTGCTGGTCTGGCTTCGTTTAGCTTTCCTTTTGTTTGGAACCCCGTCCATTGGATGCTGCTGCCCACATTCAGGCGCATTCCTCCCCTATCAGCTAAGCCTTTCATGAGGCGCTCATAGCCACACCAGCAGTGTCTTCTCAGAGATTTCAAAATGCTCTCCAACTGATACCTCAGCTCAGCCACTCTCCATTCCACTCTCCATTCCAGAAGGTCACTGACAAGACATGGAAGCGGAGAAAGTCCATAGCATTGTGTGTTGCTGATTAGCGTAAGACATTTTCCTGGTCTTGTAACGAATCTAACCTTTCTTTCCGCTCAGGAAAACTATGACTTATGGCTTTCTGAGGATGAGCTACTGCTTGGGAACTCTGACCCAACTATGTTAGTGGCTAATAACAAATAATCCTTAATTTTAATTTTATACTTTGTTCATATTATTTCCCCTCCCCAACTCTTCCTAGGTAATTCCCCTTCCAACACACACACCTTTATAAACTTTCTCTCCAAAAAAAGAAGAAAAGAAAAGAAAGGAAGGAGAAAAGAAAGAATAAACACCTGTTTATTGGCGAGAATGGGGCACAAAGTCACCCACTATCACTGTGCTCTTTCTTTCAGATCATCTTCTCAAGGTCAACGCCCAAACTTCCTAGTCATCCAGAATTCCTACACTATTATTTTTTTGTGAGAACACGTCTTACTTTTTTAGAGTAAAATATAGAGTTTAAAAATGACCAAATCGAGCACAGGCAGTTAGGACTGAAGATTCAGATGCTTGGGCAGTTCCTCTAAAAGAGGTGTTAAACCCACGTGTTTGACAGACAAGTGTCAGAAAGGATGCATGACAGGAATTCAGATGGAGCCTGGCTTTCTACTGAAAATTAGAACATCCAGCTCACACAAATCATGGTTTCACAGAAGGCAAGGTAGGGGTAGTTTTCCTCTAGGATGGTTAGATTGTCAACCTTCCCAAGTTATGACTGAGTGGCTCTTTCCAGTCTTCCTCAAGTGTCTTTCAATTTCCAGAAAACCATAATTATTTTTTAAAAAAGTGTTGTATCTTTGTCTATATGCCCATGTGGTTTGTGCAAATGTGAGCATTGGTGCCTTGGAGCCCAGACGAGGGTGTTGGTTGCCCTGGAGCAGGAGTTTCAGGTGGTTGTGAGTTGGGAATCCTAACTCAGATCCTCTCTGAAGTTTAAACTCTGTCTTGAAATTACTTAAAACTATTTGGTCCCTTAACTTAGTGAATGGATTCTCATTTCTTGTAATTATTTAGATAAAAAGTTTTACACTCATTTCAAATCTTGCCTATCTCTTATCGTTCACCTCCAATTACATACTTTCCTAATAAGATAACTAGAATTTAATACTTCCTATCATTATTACATGACAGTAATTATAATCGTTCATTGTGAAATTGCCAGTCTCTGAAGTTGCTTACTTTTTTGGATAAGCAAAGGGTAAGGCAGTGTGCCCAAGTAAGGGCCAACTGTAGTAGAAGCATCACAGAAGGATCCAAGAACATGAAGGAGAACAGATATGTGGGGTGGGGAGGGTACAAGGTGTGGGTCTAGGTATGGGATTCAGGGATCTGAAAACACAGGTCCTTTAGCACTATGTGCATATCCTTTTCTATTTGTGGGTAGTCTGCTGTTTCCTATTCACTGTTATAGCTTTCCTCCTGGGGCCACAGAACAAGCCCTTTACTTTTAAGTAAATTCAGTATAAATGAATGAGAAGGCACACCCTTTAAGCAGGAGCTGATATTCTGATAGGCGTCTTTCACTTTTCAGCATGAATAGGGTGCCTATTGGAATTTTCCTAATGAATTTGTTGGTCGTGAGTCAATAATCTGAGCCTATTATTTTAGAGCTAAGTGGATGGATGATACATTTGAAGCAGAGCAGGTTCTGTGTTAGAATGGCCTCTGTACACAGTAGGACTCAGCGAGCTTGTGCTGAATAGCTTTCCAGATTGCTGCTTTCTTTTCATGTGGATTTTATTGGCATCAATACAGATGGCAGGCAGCTTATCAAAGTGAATGAGATAAATATGGAACACGAAGAATAAAGCCAAGAACCCTTGACAAGGCTGAAAGTCTAATTTCTTACATATCTCATAGGTCTCTCCTGGAGATTCTGAAGCCAAACCTCTGATCTTCACATTTGTCCCCACTGTCAGAAGACTGCCAACCCACATTCAGGTGGCTGACACTTCCAAATTCCTTGTTAAAATTCCTGAGGAATCACGTGATAAGAGTCCAGAAAGTGTAAATAGGGTAGGATTATTTTTCTTCTTTTGAAAATTTGAATGACAATCTAAAATTATCTATGACAATGACTTGGAAATTTCATCAATGTGTATTTCTTCTGTTCAAAATAAGATGATTGTAAAATCTAAGGATGATTAAAAATATGCTTCTGAGGGCTGATGGTTTAGCTCTACAGTGGAACATGAACTTAGCTTGAGCTACATGGGTTTCATCTCTAGGATTGCCATATGTATGCATATGTATGTAGTAATATATATCTAAACAAATGTATAAAGCCTTATGTATCTTATCATGTGTCCCCAAGCATGTTGCCATCCCAGTCCTTCTAAATAAAGTCATGTGTCAAGAGCTTACCATAGCCAGAACACGTTCCAGTTTCATGGTTCCAAGTTCTCTCTCTCTCTCTCTCTCTCTCTCTCACTCTCCCTCTCTCTTTGTATGTGTTGTGTGTGTGTGTGTGTATGCATATGAGTGTATCTTCTCATTTAATTATATTCAAGAAAGTTGATATTATCTTGTTTTGATTGTGGGCCTAACCTTTAAAGGCTGAACCATTACTCTATCTCAAAAGTTGATATTCTCACCTCATTTTATAAACAAAGAAAATAATAATGACTTCAACTGGCAGAGGATCAGGCTAGGAACATATTCCAAGGGGATAATAAGAGCTCGCAGGAGTTACTAGTTGTTGAGAAGACAATGAAAGTAAAGGCAGGAAGTGTATGGCGAGCCCGGAGGTAGTGGTAAATGCCACGAAAGAAGCTACATTGGAGTAAAAAAAAGAATATGAAGAAAGCCACAGGAAGCCACATCAGACAAGTTTTACCCATGCCATTTAGACTACATCAGTGTCCAGAGCAGCCAAACAGTTTGGGCTGGGAATATACATTACCTCTTCAATTCTGCTGTATGTGATCAATTTTTGACTTCTGTCTCTGTAGATGTAAGCCATACATGTTAGCATATGTTAAACTGACCACAATAGTTGAACTTGTTAGTATCTAGTAACTTACCTTTTGTCTTTTGAACTAGTTTGAGCTTTCTAGAAAAGTAGTGCTAAAAAGAGGACCAATCATAGAGCAGTTATTAAAACAAGGAAACTGGCACTGGGTCTTTTAAGCACCTTCTGGCCATGGCTGTTATTTTAGAAAAAGAAATTTGATATTTTAATAAAACTATATTAATTCAGGTCTTGTAAATATTTTGAATAGTCATAGGAAAATGTACAGAATATTGAAAATTCCCAGTTCTAAATGACAGTCCAAAAATGAAATAATGTACTAAAAAAACCTCTTTATATTAAATTTGTCTACATTTTTATCCATGAGCACGCATATCTTGTCAATGTTGGCATTAGTCTAGGCCAGAGGTGGTCTAGACTGGGTGTCTTCCTCAACTGCTTTTCAGCCATATCTTTTGAGACGGGGTCTCTCACTGGTGTGACTAGAGAGGCCAACTGACTGTTTAGCAAGCCCCTAAGCTAAAGTGGTGGTGTAATAGACCTGTGTACACCACTTAACTTTTCCCTTGTGGGTGCTAAGGTCTGAAATCGAAGTCTTCACACTCCTGTAGCTCTCATTTAACCCACACACAGCTCTCCAGCAGCTGCACCTTAAAAGCAGCTCCATTCACGAGCCTGCCGATTAGCTTAGATTGTTTATTCTGATAATTGATATACTTTGAGTCAACGTTACATTTTCTTTCAAAGTTTAAAAATTTATTTTATTTTGGCATTTTTAAATAGGATTCCCCCCAAAAACTATTGTTAGTAAAGAACATGCTGGTTGTCTGACAATTTACTAAAACCTTGTCCAATTGATGTGACTGCCACTTGGTAAATATCTTCACTGACATCTTTTTTGGTCTGTACATCCTGGTTCCGTTCCTCTCTCTCTTCCTCATGATTTACTGGGAATCAGTAAACTTTACTTCTTGATGTTAAGTCTGAACTCGAAGTCTTCTGGACTTGAGACAGTACAAAGAGATGAGCTAGTCAAAGGATGTGTGTTTCAGGCCCTTTCTCTCAGGCAAGCTTGGTATTTTAATGTATTAAAAATCTTTCAATGAGTGGGTTAAACTTTTTAGCATATTTTAGCAAAAAGATGCATGCATCACCCCCATGTCAATATTTTTATCTTCCTGTATTTGTTGCAGTTTGAGTACAGTGATCATATGACCTTCAGCTGTGAGAGCAAGCAGGAGAGAGACCAGAGGCTACTGGCTTCTGCCTCAGAGGAAAGTGGAAGGAATTCACAAGGAAAGAAACTGGATACGAACGACCCACTAGGAATGCAGAAAGGTGACCTCTTCAAAGCAGAATATGTTTTTATTGTGGATTCTGATGGGGAAGATGAAGCTACAAGCAGACAAAGTGAACAAGGCCCCCCAGGGGGAGTAGGCAACATAGCTACCCGGCCCAAGTCCTTGGCTATTTCTTCTAGTCTGGCCTCTGATGTGGTACGTCCCAAAGTACGCGAGGCTGATCTCAAGACCTCATCACATCCTGAAATTCCTTATGCAATGGCCCCTCAGCAAAAGCATGGACAGGTAGGTTTCAACTGAGTGCCATTTTCAATGTCTTTTGTTGTGAGTGTCTGAAAACATCTTCCTGTTTAAAAATATATATGACTCTCAAAACTATATTAAAACCTCCAAATCCCAAGATCACAAATAATCACAGTGTAAATAAGCATTGAGAAGTTGATGAAACTGAAAATTATGCTGTGAATCAGTTGGACAGAAAATATAACACATTTAGCTAGAGTAGATTTGGGGAAATATCTTTTGCTTTTGAGCAATTCTTGGAGAAAGCTGACATTATAGAGGGTGTGTGGAGGAAGAAGCACATTTCCGACATGAAATATCTAAGAAGCTTTAAATGTATCTTAGGAGTAAACATTTATAAAAGAGTAATAAAAGGATAGGCCAGGAAATAGGAGTATGTAAAGGAATGTAAATCTATCTGTATGATTATGGAATATGCAAAGACAGAAATGACTTCAATGAAGCTGAGGAGAATATCCTACTCTGAAATTTATCTAAGGTGGAGAGCCACTAGTGTCATAGGAGAAGCCCCTTCTGTGATGGGAACAGAGTTTGAAGGAAGACACGGGAAGATTCTGATGTTGACTGGCTACCGAGTGTAACTGAAAGGCCAGGTGCCTCTGAAATGCAAGGTGTGGTTAGAAGGCCAGGGACACAGAGGCTAAGGAGGTGCAGAGAGAGGTCTCACTGCTTGGCAGTGGAGAGTGAGCTGGTTCTGAGACCTCCTGTTTAGGTTCTATCAAACCAAACCCTTATAAGCATTATAAAGTGGCTTGAAAGACTTTTTTGTTGTTGTTGGTGAATTTGTCTTTGTGATATTGGGATTTAGCAAGATTGTAGAGTAGGTCTTCCATGTTTATTGTCGCTCATGTCTATGCCTGACGCCGACGGTAATGCCTGATGCTGTAATTTTTATTACTTCAAGCACCCAATGTTGTAGGAGGCCGCTTGTTTGTTTACGGCTGCTCAGCCCCCGAAATAATGTCACAGAAGCCATATTATTATGTTATTATCTTTACTCTGTCTCTTTAAAGACTTAGTTTTTTTTAAAACCATTTATTTCCTTTTATAACTCTCTATCCTCTTTTTCTTCTCTCTCCCAAGCCTACATACATTTATTCAACACTGTGACTCGTTTAGAGTTCTTTTATGTCTGAATCTGTCCTTGTTGCATTTCTGTGATCCTTTTCTGACCAGGAAGGCTTCTTAGAATTTTAAGTGCTTCTTAAAAACCTAAGCGGCGTTATTATAACTAAGGCTGCTTTACCTTTTGGCTCCGCCCAATCCAACATGTCAGAGGAGGGCTGTTCATTGTCTCTGAGAGCCGTTCTCTCTGCCCCAGATCCCGGGTTGGGTTGCAGCGGGTCTGTGTTACCATTAAGCACATTGTAGCAGTCTGCTCACAAACCCCATTTAAATGCTCCGTAGCCAAACTTCCAGAAAGAGTCAGTGTTCATGCTGGAAGCAGGGCCCAGGAAGTTGCTGACTACTGCTCAATCAGGAAGACCTCTCTTAAAGGAGCTGTAGCATGCTGCCAGCAAGCAAAGCCCATCTGGGGAAAAAATGCAGCTAAATTTTGTGTTTTAGTGTCTAGAATTCCTTTCCTAGCCCCCCCAGGTTTTATGTGGATTTAGCTAGCACATGTTGGAGAGGCAATTTGTTGTAAGAGGTCTCTTGCTTGTTTCCCAGTCACCTGGCAGCTCAGACTCTAAATAATCACACAGAAACTATATTATTTAAAACAGTGCTTGGCTCATTAGCTCTAGCTTCGTATTGGATAACACTTATATCTTAATTTAACCCATTTCTAGTAATTTGTGTATCATTACATGGGCGTGGCTTACCAGGTAAAGTTCTGGCATCTGTCTCTTGTGGGGCTACATGGCTTCTCCCCAACTCTGCCTCCTTTCTTCCAGCATACAGTTTAGTTTTCCCCACTTAGCTCTACTCTAGTGTATCAGGCCAAGCCAGTTTCTTTATTAACCAAGGGTATTCACAGCATAAAGAGGGGAATCCCACATCAATCCATTATATTTCACTGCCTGTCAATAGTGAAAAATGCTCACTGGGGTGTGGAAGGAGGGCCCACTAGTTTGTCCCAGCCACCTGGCTAGCTTACACCCAAAATAACCACACAGGAACTCTATTAATTAAATTACATATTGGCCTATTAGCTCTAGCTTCTTATTGGCTAACTCTTGTATCTTAACTTAACCCATTTCTATTAATCTATGTATCACCATGAGGTCATGGCCTACCAGCAAAGTTTCGATATGTCTGATTCTGGTGGCAGCAGCTCCATGGCGTCTCCCTCTCCACCTTTCTTCTTTTAGCATTCTGTTCTGTCTTCTCTGCCTACCTAAGTTCTGCCCTATTAATAGGCCAAGGCAGTTTCTTTATTCATTAACAAAGATATGCAACACAGATGGAAGGACCTCCCACACCACTGGGGTATAGCTATTTTGGATCTAGGTCTAAAACAATACACACACACACACACACCACCACCACCCCTTTTATCCTCTTAAAATTTATAAGGTTATATTTTGTTTCTTCTGATTGTATGTTTGTTTCTGTACTGTTGGCAAAGGTTTCTCTTTTGCCTGGTCCTGTAGCCTTCAGGCCCAAAGAATCACACCAAGGCCTACATAAATTATAAACTGGTTGGCCTATTAGCTCAGGCTTTCTTATTAACTAACTTTTACATCTTACATTAACCCATAATTCTTGATGTGTTAGCCTGGTACCTTTTATCAGTGAAGCATTCTCATTTTGCTTCCTCTGTGCCTGGGTGGTGACTGCAGACTGAGCCTTTACTCTTTCCAGAATTCTCCTGTTCTGGTCACCCTGCCTATAATTCCTGCTTGGCTACTGGCCAATCAGCATTTTATTAAGCCAGTACATGTGACAAGTCTTTACAGGGTATAAGATCATTGTCCCAGAGCAGTGTACTATGCCTGTTGTCCATGGAAGCTAGCAAGAGCACTAGTCTTCTGGAACTGGGGTTATAGATGATTTAAGCGGCTATGTGAATGTTGGAAATTGAATTCTTATCTTCTGCAGGAGCATCCAGTGCTATTAACCACTGAGCCTTCTCTTTAGCTCTAACATATTACTTTTTAAAAATTTATTCTCAGCGAGGTACTGTATCAAAGTACTGTAGTAATATACCTCAGGGTGTTCTCATAAGGCGGTAGACTCAGACATTGCTTTCTGGCCTCAGGAAAATTGATAGATAAGCAAAAGGAGTATCATGGATTTATGTTGACATGGAAGACAGCTGAATGTCGTCACTTTGATAAAAATATGTAGCACAATAAAAATAAATGTAAACAATACATTCTTATGAAGAAATTTGGAGATTTTTATTTCTTCCTTTTCTGTTAATAGATCTATTTCCTTGAACTGATTATTTATTTTGCTTTTGTGTAATCAAATACAGAGAGGTCAATGTGCAGGGTGAATTTATACTTTGGAATACTTTTTATTCCTAGAAGATAGATTAAGTCACCTAAGTGTAAAACCAAACTGTAGAAACTAGCCTCATTCATTAGTAGCTAAGGTTGTAGTTACAAATTATAGGGAGGTACTGGATCCTGATATCATGAAACTGATATCTGTTTTTATGTTTTGTTTCTTATGATGACACGGATCATGAAGTAATTTAGCTGTTACACACAGGTGTAAACGAACAAGAAAGGACCAAAGCAGTAATTAAGATAGTAGTGGGACTTTGTAAAAATTTCACAACAAATGCAAGACTGGGTTGCCAGATACTAAGATCATTAATTTTTTTTAGGTAGAATTTACAATCAATAAAGTAAATCTCTGATTTTTCTTATAAAGAATGATTAATTCTTATATAGAACTGCCTGTAAGTTAGCATTACTGGTTAGCCAGAAACAAGGTATCCCTAAATGGCTTCAACTCTTTACCCAGTCTTTGCCTTTCGATAGTCTAGACTCTTAATCTAGCCATCTGTTGCACTGTTTTTCTTCAACTCTTGTGAACTGCCACTCAGTACAAACAGCCCACTCATTCTTTGCTGATCTCCTTGTTTTTCTCCTGAATGATGTCTTCCCAGAACCCACATTTTTTTTTTCCTTTTGGATACTGCTTAGCTTTAGCTAGACCACTTCCTGGAGATGAGCTAGTGATCTTTTGTTTTTGTAATTTTCTTTGATGGTTGATTTAAGAAAAATCTCTACCATTATTCCTTTCCACTTTTAACAATTAATTTTCTTTTTTGTTAATTTTCTTTTTTCTTAGTTAGATTGTAAATAGCATGAAATAAAGGCTTATCTCTTGTTAATACCTTTAGAGGAGTACTTTGTATGAAAGTGCGCTTCACTAAGGTATGGAGAAAACCTAAATATTGTTTTAAGTTCACATTGTGTTCCTCTCTGAAGTCCCTGTTCAGATACTAACCCCATGAAATTTTTTCAGTGCCCTCAGTGAGAACAACTCTCCCCCTGTGCGAGTCTGATAGTTCTTTAACACACAATTTAAAAATGGACACAGTCCAGCATGTTTGGTTATTGTTTGGCACATGTATTACCTCCCTTTACAGTTTGTAAAGTCCTTAAAGCTGTAGCACATATTGATTTCATTTGTAGTAAACATTTTGTTCCATATTGACTTAATGTATTCTGAAAATACTAATATAAAGTTTGTGGTTTGACGTATACCAAATGTGTTCTTTGAAGTGTGTCTTAGGGTTTCTACTGCTGTGAAAAGACACCATGAGCATGGTAACTCTTATAAAGGCAAGCATCTAATTAGAGTGGCTTACAGTTTCAGAGGTCAATTCATTATCCTTGTGGTGGGACATGGCAGCATGCAGGCAGACATGACCCCAGAGAAAGAGCTGAGAATTCTACAGCTTGATCCACAGGCAACAGGAAGTGAATTGAGTACCACACTGTGAGTAGTTTGAGCATAAGGGTATTCAAATCCCACCCCTACAGTGACACAGTTTTTCCAATCAAACAAAACCATCTCCG